CTGTACAAATGGAAAAAAATTAAGTTCAACATTTCTAGACCAATATGGCTGTTAATTTTTGTACAATGCCAATGTAACACGGTAAACTGGGATACTTTTTTCCAAAGTTGACAGCACAGCTAAAGTTTCCAAAAATTCAAATTTATAATATATATATTATATATTATATATAATGGCAATAATATAAGGCCAATAATGGCAGTATGTTATGCATCAATAGCAGCAACAGCTTTTCCAGGTTCTGCAGTCATTTGAACAAAATTACAGAGCTTCTTTGACACTAATTCAGTGATGCAGTAGTTCATAGAGCTGCTGTAACAAAGCACCCCAGACTCAGTGCCTTAAACAACACATCCACATGTCTTCATGACTCTGGAAACTAGAAGTAAGAAATCTAGGTCTGTGTAGGTTGGTGTCTTCTGGCATCTCTCCATTTGGCTTGGAATTGGACTCTTTCTTCCAGCGTCCTCTCTGTGTGTGAATTGTTTCTTCTGAGGACACCAATCATCAGATTAGGTCTTCATTTTGATTGAGTTGCTACAAAGGCTCCATCCCCAGATATATTGACCCTAAGAGATACACAGATGAGGATTTTAACATGGACTTGGGGGAACACATTTAACCCACAACACCTCATTTCATCCATGTCCATACATTTTTGAACCCCCAAGAAAAATTCATATGGAAGCAAACAAGGAACAATCCATAGTGTTATATTTTGCAGTGCAAAAGTCTCTACATCCTGAAGGTCAAGTTTCTCCTCAATTTGTGAATCATAATTTGATTTTTTACTGGTGCTAATGAAATATTAAAGTATTATCAGGTATGGCAGTGAAAAACAATAATAATGAGCTAAGTGGAAGTGTGACATTTCTAACAGATCCCATCAATATAATTGCCTATCATCTATAGTATGGTAAATGTTCTACCTGAGTGCTCATTTCAGAAATAATATATTAAATACTTAGCTGTCTTCCCTGTTGCCTCAGAGTGAAAGAAGTTACTAGGGAAGCCATTGCTGAGCGCAAGATCATGAAAGTGGCCACCAATTCAGGAAAGGGAAGAGATTTTTATAGAAAAAGAGAAAGCCGAATGTTGATTTCTCATCTGTGTGTGCGAATAGGTGGTTAAGATATGAGGACCATGGACTTTTATTAGTGAATTAATAGTAAAACTTGTATGTACAAGTGTCAAGCCAGTCAGTGACCCTGGCACACCAACACATGGCTGACTTTTCCCTTGTGCCAACTGAACATAGAAAGTACATCATAAAATTACTGAGAAAGCAATGAAGACCTCATGTGCCCTCCCTCACCACACACACACAGGATATAGGAAGTTGGGAGGGAAAAGAGGCTGACATGCTTGTAGAGAGGAAGATAAACTTATTACATTATTTTATTTGCCATTATTCCTTAAGAGCATTATTTATTGTTATTGTTTATTTATTTATAACAGTTTATTGATAGGTGAGTGAGTTCCTTTGGAAAATACTTAACCTATTTAGGGCCTTTTATTAACTTGGCTCTATTTAGATGAAATAAATAATCTTCCTGTATTGTACCACTCTATATAATATTTAACATATTATATATTATTAATCATATTAACATAGCTTACATTAAGTATATGACTTTATAATAATAATTTGATATCAATATATTTTAATATTTAACAATATTTATGTTGTATGTATATAAAATATAAGTAGAACTGTGTGAGAATTTAATTTTGAAGAGCCTAGGCAACTAGAACTTGGATGAAGGTAGAGAAAAGAGTCATGCATTCCTGAGTCCACAAAGCTCCTTTTCAGTTTTGAGGTGCAGTTTGAGAAACATACATTTCTTGTGAATTAGGTAGCTTACTCTTAAGCACCAGTGAGTTGCTTTAAGTAGGTCCAACAAACATAGAAAGGATCTCGATGATAGCCAGGCTTCAGGATGCACTTATACTATGATTATCTGTATGGCAATGATAGGCTTCTATTCCTTTGGTGGGTTCCTGTAATTTATTGAACCATGTCCACAAATTCATAGTAGACTCCTGAGCTGTGAATTTGCAACATGCACTTGAGTTTTTTATTTTACCAACTAGAAGGAAAGAATTACTTACTTCTGTTGTTGTCATTGATTTCTCCCATTGCTTTACTGAACCAAAGCTATTTAGCTCAAGTTGACAAGAAACAAGGGCTGGTATTTGACATCAGTTCCCTTGTAATTTCCCTGTTAATATTCTGTATATACAACAGCCACATTAGATACAAGAACCACTTAGTATGGCTCATATTAATCCATCTTTATTCTTCTCATGGTCTGTCTTAATCAGTGTTCTATTGCCGTGAAGAGACACCAATACCAGGGCAACTTATATAAAGAAAAGCGTTTAATTGGGGTTGGCTTACAGTACCAGAGGTTGAGTTCATTTTCATTAGAGAGGGAAGTATGGCTGCATGCAGGTAGACAG